TGCTGCAATGAACATGGGAGTGCAGATATCTCTTTGAGATAGTGACTTCATTTCCTTCTATTATATACCCAGAATTGGGATTGCTGGATCATGTGGTAGTTCTTTTTTTTAATTTATTAAGGAGCCTCCATACTGTTTTCCATAATGACTGCATCAATTTAAATTCCCAACAACAATACACATGGGTTCCCTTTTCTTCACATCTGTGCCAGATTTTCTCTCATATCTTTTTTATAATAGACACCCTAACAGTGTGCGGTGTTAGGTTGTGGTTTTGATTTGCATTTCCCTGATAACTAGTAATGGTGAGCATCTTTCATACATCTATTGGCCATTTGGATGTCTTTGTGAAAATGTTTCTTCAGGTCCTTTCCCCCCTTTTTTTATTATTGAGTTGTATGTAAGAATTTATGTTTTGATATAAATATAAAGATATATAGTTTGCAAATATTTTATCTCATTCCATAGGTTGCCTTTTCATTTTCCTGAATGTTTGCTTTGTAGAATCTTTTTAGTTTGTTGTAGTCTCACTTTTGTTGCCTGTGCTCTTAGTGCAGTATCCAAAAGATCATTATGCAACCAATGTCCAGGAGCTTTTCTAGGATTTTTATGGTTTTAAGTCTTATATTTAAGACTTTAATCCATTTGAGTTGATTTTGTGTATGGTATAAGATAAAGGTCCAATTTTATTCTTTTGAATATGGATATCCAGTTCCCCCAATACCACTTATTGAAGGAACTATCTTTTCCCCATTATGTGTTTTTGGTGCGTTTGTTGAGAGTTTGGTGACTGTATGCGTGTAGATTTAAGGTTTTTAAATGCATCCCTGTGAAAAGAAAGAAGAGAGTGTTGGCTAAGTGATAAGGAGAATCATGGTTAACATTGGGTAGTAAAATTGGAGGCTGGTAGACCTTTTCCTACTCTGCAGTTGCTGAGCTAGGTCCCTTGGTCCTTCTAGGCCCCAGCTGCCTTTAACATAAGAAGTAAATATGGAAAGCATTTCCATTAGAAGTTCTGGGCTACAGAATATTGTATGTGCTTCTGTGGCAACCACACTGTCTTGGGCCATGCCTTGCCACCTCCACTTATTTCCCCAGGCTAGCCCAGCAAACCAGTACTGTCCAAACACCTGACCACTCTTCTCTAGGTGCCAGACACTGCAGTTCCTTGTCAGTGGACGATGCAACTGGTAGTGTATTTATTTGTAGGAAGCTTGTAGCTCTCTTCCCTCCCCCAAGATTCATTCTCCTGCTAGGGGCTGTAGAGTGCTGACTCCCCATGTTGTCTGGAATGCAATTCTCCTACCTGACATCAACAGCCTCTTCAAGAAGTTTTGTAAGGTAAATCTCTGGTGCATCAGGTTGTGTCTTTGGATTCCTTCTGAGTTCCCCCTCTCATGGGCTGCGTCCCTCAATGGGCCAGCCTAGCCAAACCTATACCAGTTAGTAGAATGGAGCAGGAGATGCCTACCCAGGGCTGGATCTAGGACAATGCGGCATTAGCATGACCCAGAGAGCTCTAAACTATATATTTGTGTGTTTATAATTTTTTAAAAAAGAGTTACAATACTAATATATTATGTACTTTATTACATATGTATAGATATAGAAATTAAAGATATGAGATATAAAAATGAATCAAAAGAAGAAAGTTTTAGTATTTTCTTTTTGTACCCCTGGGGCCATTTTTGGGGTGCATTGCATCATTTTGAAGACCTCTGAAAACCAATGCTATCAAATTGTGCTTGAAAGCAGTGTGAGGTAGTAGTTAAAAGGTAGACTCAGGAGTCAGCTGGCTTGGATATGAACCCTGGCTCCATCACCTCCTAGCTGGATGACAACCTCAATATCATTTTCTTTAAAACATGAATATGCCCTAGATGGTTTTTCCCAGTGGGTAGAGCATCAGCCTGTGGACTAAAGGGTCCCAGGTTCAATTTCAGTCAAAGGTACATCTCTGGGTTATGGACTCAATCCCCAGTTGGGGGCATGCAGGGGCAGCTGATCAATGATTCTCTCTCATCATTGATGTTTTTATCTCTCTCTCCCTCTCCCCTCCTCTGAAATCAATAATAAAAAAAAAAGTTAAAAAAAAAACTTAAGCTAGAGATTCTCTAAAATAAATAAAAAATGACATGAATAGTAAGAGTGCACATCTCACATGTTCTTAGAAATGTTAATATAAAACATTGAAATAAATGGCATTTATCAATTAACTTGATAAATGTTATTTTCCTCAGTGCCACTGTTAAAAATAATGTAAAATACACACACACACACAAGACAAAACGAAAACACCAGATGGGAGGAAAAGGAAAGAAAAGCCTGGAGGGATGTCCTAAAAAAGATGACCCCCAATCTGACTTCACATTTCCCTGCAATGCATACGAGTTTGCTGGGTGAAGGTCATAGAAATGAATTGGCTTTGCCTTTTCTTAAACTAGTAAAACTTTTTCATAGATGCTGCTCTTTGCTCTTATGTCTCTTTTCTGTCTTCATCTAACTCCTTTCCAGAGTTTCTATATTAACTCCAGGGGCTTTTCTATCTCTTGTCTAGAGCAGCGATTTTTCAACTTTTTTCTTTTAATCTCATGGCACACATACATTAATTACTAAAATTCAGCAGCACATCAAAAATATATATTTTTGCCGATCTGACCAAAAAAAAGGTATAATTTTGAGTCATTTATACTGGATGGCTATTGTTTGTTTGCTGTCATTTTTTAAAATTTTACTTACTGTATTTTCCGGCGTATAAGACAACCCCTAATTTTTACAGTTAAAACATAGGTTTAGGCCTATACTACCCTCCACTTCCGAGGCAACACCAGTTATTTTTTTAATAGACTGCCTCTCTGACTCTGGCCAATCTGAGCAGGCTTTTTACTAGAACACAGTGTACATGTTCTGTACACTGTACACTGAAACACACAAGATGGCCACCCCCATGTAGCCACCACAAGATGGCCACCACAAGATGGCCAGCAAGGGATGGCAGTTGTGGGTGATCAGTCCAGCAGGGGAGGGCCTGCAGGGGAGGGCAATTGTGGGCCACCGGGCCAGCAGGAACAGGCAAAAGTTCTTGGGGCAGGTCCTTCTTGCTTCTTTTGCTCTGCCCTAGTCTTCCTGCTTCGACATGTTCACAGAGCCTAGAACAATAGTCAGTGGCCACCTTGCAACCACAAGGGTGAAAGTGGTTCGGAGGCTGAGAAGAGGCCTGGTTTACTGAAGATTTCCCTGAACGGCTATGCCACCTCTGGATTTTACTAAAAATATATACCTCCCAACCCATTGTTGAGCTGTTGTTTGTTGGAGTTCCTATTACTTGCTGCCAAACACATTCACACGTCTGAATTAGTTTTGTCAGTAAGGGCTGTCTAATAGTGGTGAAAAAAGAAAGGCCAATGGGGAGCAGAAGGCCCCTTAATTTGCCCCGACATTCAAACCCAGTAACTCCTCCAAAGCTTGCACTACTCTGGTGTTGGTAATTGCTGCCATCTAGTGGCAATGCTTTATAACTAAGACACTGGCCAAGAACTGTTTTTCCTGCTGCTCTTTCAGTAGGAATGAAGAGTCACAGGAGAGGTGGTTATACAGTACTAGAGGCCTGGTGCACGAAATTCATGCATGGGGGTGTGGGTCCCTCAGCCCAGCCTGCACCCTCTCCAATCTGGGACACCTCGAGGGATGTCCGACTGCCCATTTAGGCCTGGTGGGATACATACCTCTCACAATCCAGGACTGCTGGCTCCCAACTGCTAGTCTGCCTGCCTGCCGGATTGCCCCTAACTGCTTCTGCCTGCCATCAAGATCACACCCTAACCACTCCCCTGCCAGCCTGATTGACACCTAACTGCTTCCCTGCTGGCCCGATGCCTTTAACTGCCCTCCCCTGCCAGCCTGGTCACCCTTAAATGCTTTCCCCTGCTGGCCTGGTGGCCCACAATTGCCCTCCCCTGCAGGCCTGGGTCCCCCCCCCCCCCCCCCCCCTTAACTGCCTTCTCCTGCTGGATTGATCACCCACAACTGCCATCCCTTGCTGGCCATCTTGTGATGGCCATCTTGTGGTGGCTACATGGGGGTGGCCATCTTGTGTGTTTCAGTAATGGTCAATTTGCATATTACCTTTTTATTATATAGGATTGGAAAATGGTAGCATGATTATATACTGATAGGAATAATCCAGGAGAGGGGGAGAAAGAAAAAATGGAAGCACAGTTCATAGAGGGGATACTAAAAAACTAAAGTTCTGAGAAAATTCTGGGAGATAGTAGAGAATATACCTCAGATGTATTGCAATTAGGTGTGTGGAAGTTGGGAAATTTATTTACCAACTCACATCACTCACTGGTTGTGGGATGCTGGGAGGGCACGAATTCCTCAACATTTCTGGTCACCCTGGGCCTGGGCTAAAGTAATTCTGGTGAGCAGAGAAAGCCACCAGGCAAAGACTCCCAAATGCTTGCAGCTAGAAGCCATTGAGTTGGTATGTACAGGAATGGTAAGCCCCAGGGTATATGGGGCACCAAGAGCGTCTGTCTTGGTCGATGTTTTCTCCATTTCTGAGTTTCTAACATAGAGAAAAAAATGAAAACAAAAACAATTCTGAATGATAATGAATAGGTGTGAAGAGACAAGAAAGTGTTTTAGCCATAGTTTGTGCCTTCCATCCAGACACATCTGAGCTGGGGACTTCAGTTGTTAAAATCTCTTTGGATCTCAGTTACCTAATCTGTAGAATGGTGGGAGGTAAGTAAAAAGGATAGGGCTTCTTTTTGCAATTCTTATTTGCAGTTCTTTTATTGGTAGGATAATTCCCCTTTGTCTTCATTACATATATGAAAGCATTTCAAGTGGTATACATCTGCCATTTAACCAATCCAACGTGTTACGTTCCATCTCTTTTGAGTACTCTTTACTGGTCACGGTTCAAAGCATTGTACACATCTCCAACCACTATAGCAGTCATCTGAGGATGTTAACATTATTCCATTTTACAGGTGAAGATTCTGGTTCCAAGGCGTGACAAGGATTTATCCAAACTTAGATCCTTCTGACTTCCAGACATTCGTTTCTTATACTGCAGGACAGTGAGATGGTGACGTCTGTCTTTGCCAGGAAAAGGAATGAGGAATCTATGTCGGATTTTTCACTAGCAGATAAGGCGGCTGCTGGTGCTGACCTGAGAGATAAGGCGGCTGCTGGTGCTGACCTGAGAGAGCAGCATGAGGCTGTGGGAAGCCTTTCTCCAAAGTCGGCCCATCATTCCAGGCTTTCCCTTTCTGGGTTCCTGGGCAGCGCTGACGGGGGTGCATGAGGGTTCTGGAGGGTACCCACTAATTTAAGGTGACCAGATCGTCCCGCTTTTGGCGGGACAGTCCCGATTTCCAACAGTTTTTCCCGCGTCCCGCGGCATTTTAAAAAAGTCCCGATTTTTGGAAAGATTGGAAATATTCTTTCCAAAAATCGGGACTTTTTTTTAAAAAACGCCGGGGGACACGGGAAAAATTGTTCAAAAGCGGGACGATCTGGTCACCTTACACTAATTTGAAGTGTTTAAGCCCGCACCGTTCCTTGTTATTCATTTCCAATTGGGGAGAACGAAGCAAGTAGCCATGGATCACAATAAAGACGTCAGGAGCGGATTCACCATGGCAACGCCGACGCCAATCTCCGGGAAGCGTTCCAAAACCCTTTAGTTCCGGCTCTCTGGTGACGTCACTTCCGCCCCCTGCGCCGCGGCGCGCACGTCTCTCTTCCTGCTGCGCCGGAGGGGACCCGGCGCCGAGGCGGAGGGGATCGGGGAGAATGTGAGGCCGGCACCATGGAACGGGAAGGCGGGGAGCCCGCGGCGGCCGTGGTCGCCGTGGTCACGGAGCCGCGGTTTGCCCAGCGGTGCCGGGAGTACCTGGAGAAGGAGAAGCTCCTGGACAGGCAGCACCGCGTGGCGAAGATGCAGGACGGCACCGTGGCGCTCCCGGTGCTGGGGGAGGCGCTCCCCGAGCGGCACCTGTGGCAGCTGAGGAACCGTGTGGCCCCGGGCAGCCCCTGTGCGCTGACGCGGCTCCCGGCTCCCGCTCCTTCCCGGAAGGCCCAGGGTGGTTCACCTGCCCGACGCCTGTGTCTGGAGGTGAGTCGCTGGGTGGAGGCCCGGGGAGTGACCTGGTCGTCCGAGTTGGAGGCCGATTTACCCCGATCTTGGCAACGACACGGCGACCTCTTGTTGCTGAGTGAGAACTGTTTCCAGGCTAAGCAGTGGAGAGATCTGGAACCAGAACTCTGGGAGATTGTGGCCTCGGCACTCGGCGCCCAGCGTTTGGCCAGACGAGGGCGGGTGTCACCAGGTGGCACTCGAACGCCTGCGGTGACCCTGCTGCTGGGCGGCGATGGCTGGGTTGAGCACGTGGATAACGGGATCCGATACACGTTTGACATAACCCGGTGCATGTTCTCCTTCGGGAACATCACTGAGAAGCTTCGAGTGGCGTCGCTGCCCTGTGCGGGACAGGTGCTGGTGGATCTCTACGCAGGGATTGGTTATTTCACATTGCCGTTCCTAGTTCACGCTGGCGCTGCCTTCGTCCATGCCTGCGAGTGGAACCCCCATGCTGTAGTTGCTCTGAAACGTAACCTTGAGATCAATGGAGTAGCAGATCGGTGCCAAATACACTTTGGAGACAACAGAAAGTTGAACCTCTCAGACATTGCAGACCGGGTGAACCTGGGGCTGATTCCAAGCTCTGAAGAAGGCTGGCGCACTGCCTGCCGGGTGCTGCGGAAGGATGCTGGGGGCATTCTGCATATCCACCAAAACGTGGAATCTTTCCCAGGGAGGCATCTCCAGCCTTCTGGAAACAGTGAAACGGAGAAGGAGCCTTGGCTTTGTCTTCAGCAAATGATCAGTAACCAGTGGGAAAACGGAGCTAGTGGGGATTCTGGGAGAAAAGTGCTGTCAGCAGCCATCAAGCCAGAGTGGCACAGGTGGGCGGAGTCTGCAGAAACTCGAATTGTCACTCTTCTTCAGGAGGTGCACGGAAAACCATGGAAGACAAAGATCTTGCGCATCCAGCCAGTGAAATCCTACGCACCCCATGTGGATCACATAGTCCTGGATCTAGAATGCCGGCCCTGTCCTCCGGTTGGCTAGAGAAGATGGATCCAGAGACATGAGCATCTACTTGTGAGCGAACCTTAATGCATCAGCGCAGGCCAGGTTCTCACCCCTTTGTTTCCGGTAATCTATTTTAATACAGTATTTTGCGGCCCTGCAGGCAGGTTCTAGGTCCATCTGGGAGAAGCAGCATGTCTCACTGAAATGAGGCCCATCTGTGCCGTCATGAATTCCGCATGGTGACCTCTGTTCTGTCTGACCGCTGGAACATGGTTTCGGTATTCTTTTGGCATTGGATTTCCTTATTTACAAAATATGGGTTTCTTTGAATCATCTTACACAGCTTTTATTTAATGAGCAGTTGTACACAAGATGTTGGTTATCAGAGTGAAAGGCAGTGCTGTTTCCAAAGTCACTCCGGTTACAATATGGAAAATGAGCTGGAAGGTGCCCAGGATGGAAGCAGACCAGGGGGAGGTTTCTGTAGCTGTCCAGGCATGAGGTGATGGTGGCTTCTAGTTGGTAGCAGTGGGAGCTGGATGCATTTGAGCAATAAAATCAACGTGACTAAACAATGGAGTCTATATTAAGACATTAAAATGGTGCTGCTTTATTAATACCGAGAAAATAGGGAGGGAAGAGGACAAAAATTACTCTAGTGTATTAATTCTATTCCTCTATTTAGGCATTCCTAATGAGTGTTCGGAGGAGGGTGATGTCTTCAATATTGGGCTTATTGTGGTAGAAAGTGGATAAAATGACTGCTTTAAATCATAGGGAAACTAGATTTTCAGTCTTAAGCTGTGCAATAGCTGCCAGTTACGAGCTTTTTTGTTTTTTAAACCTCACTGGAGAATATGCTTATTGATAAGAGAGAGGGGTAGGAAGAGAGCATGAGAGAAACTTGTATGCAAGAGAGAACATTGATTGGCTGCCTTCCATGTGTCCCTTGACCAGTGATTGAACCAGCACCCTAACTATGTGCCCCTAACTGGAATCAAACCTAAAAACTAGTATGTGGATGGCGCACCAACCAACTGAGCCATACCAGCCAGGGCTTGCTAGCTAGTTTAGAAGTTCGAATTAAAACCTTAAATTTTTAAAGGGCTCAGACTCTCTTTTCCTCTTCCTTCCCTAATCAAGAACATCAGGACCAGCGGAAGGAGCTATAGGAAAAGTGAGGTGTTCTGCAGTTTTTTATTTTATGTCATCACCACTGTTTACCCTTTGGATGACTAATTGTAGGGAATCACACTGTTTACCTTTAGAATGACTAATTGTGGAGAATCACTTCTCAGAGTCTTATTTTGGTGCACTTTGAAGCCTGGACTTGTTTATCTGATAGAGGAAATAGATAACAGCCTGTGGCTTTATCAGGATTATGGTTGGACCTGGCATTTGGTTAGCTGGGGTTGGGCTGGGCTGCTTGTCCTTTTTGCAACAGTGGCTGGAAACCAGACAGGATCGGTGCTGTTTGTGTTACTCTGTAAATATTAAGTGAGTACTATATACATGGACCACAGGAAATGTATCCACTAGACATAGACACAGTTCCTGTCTCTGAGGAGCTGACACGAGCAGCTGATACACAAATACTCAAAAGAATTTGAAGACGATGAAGTAAGTGCCATATGAGTGATAGCATGTTGTAGGAGTGCTAAGGTGAGGAAAAGAAGTTCAAAACAGCTAATTCTTTATTGGAAAGGGAAGCTTCAGGCAGTCTACTTCTCTGTTCCCACCCTCGCCTCACCTCAAATACAGTGTTAAATCGTTCCCACTTTCAGAGAGAATGCCTCCAGTGTATTTCACCATTAAGTGATATCCTTCCTTCGTTCGGCATATCCATAGAGTCCCATTATATTCTGTGTGTGTGTGTGTTTTATCTTCCTTTTTCCTCTGTACTGTTACTTTCATCATAAACACAGAGGTGTGGGGCTGTTTCTACACTTCCTCTTCTGTTCCACGGGAAAGTTTTTCTATTCATGCACCAAAACCATCTTGTCTGAATTATTATAGCTTTAAAACAAGTCCTGGTAACTTTGTTCAAGATTGCATTATTTATTCTTGATCTTTTGCATTTTCTTATGACGTTAAAATCGGCTTGTCAATTTTTGGGGAAAAGAATCTGTTGAGTTTTTTTGGTTGGGATTACATGGGACTTATAGGGTAAAATTGGCATTGTTACAATATTGAATCTTCCATTTTGAAACTTTTGTTTTACTCATTTGGGTTAGCTATGAAATGAGAAATGATTTTTTTAAAAATGAAAGGTGTTATCAGAAGCTGGGACTACAGTATACCATCTAAGGTGAAGGGTCCTATACTTCCCATGTATAGTATCCCATGTCAGTGGGATACTATATCCATCTTCTTTGGGCTCTCTGCCTTTATAGATGTTTTTAATTTAGTATTACGTTACTCTTCCTTTCAGCAGTACCTCAGCCCTTAGATTATTCTTGACCATAACCCTAGAAAATTAACATATTTGAACCTGTCATCTATTTATATTCTAATATAAATTAAATTACCACTGAGTAATTATCACATATAACAACCCAAAGTAATAAACAATATCTTCACAGTACTACTACTGAGCCATAAATGGAGTCATTGCTAAGTGTTATATAAAGCTTCACTGAGTATTTCTCTTAACATTTGTTAACTATATACCATACTAAGTATTAAACTATATTGTTATAATTTGTGTAATAAGCATGAGAAATTCCTTGCAGAGGATTAGAACTTGAGCTCCAGAATCAGAAAAATAAGGGTTAGAAACCTGACTCTGCCACTGTCACTGTCTGTGTCCTTGGACAAGTTTGTTGAAGATTGGATAATGCATGTCATGTATTTTGTTTTATATTAAACTTTATTTCTTTTTACAAGATGAAGATACTGATGACTAGAGAGTTTCAGTACTTAAAGGCAATAGTTAGAGGCGAAAGTGGGCAGCCATGCTGCCAAGCTTAAAGTGCTCAATAAATGTCTGTTGAATGAATGAATGAACCAAAAGTCAGGTAATGTAAACCCAACATTGATTCCATACACCATTATATTCTTTGTTATTTCCTTTGTTAACTAAACAACAATAGACTGGTCCTGTTAATTTGGCACTTACAAAACCAGAAATTCCAATAGCTAAATTTTGATGTGCATATCTGAAATTTAACGATGAGAGAGAAAAACTGGTTCCCCTAAGGCAATGTTTCCCAAACTTTTGACATGTGTGTACCCCTTCTATAATTTTCATAACGCTGAGTACCCCTCGTACTCATGAGAACGTAGAATTAGGCGCAGCTAAGCACGGTGCAGTGCATATCCCCACCAAACTCTGGTGCAACGTGTACCCCCACCAGACTCTTCCTGTACCCCTGGGGGTACGCGTACCACACTTTGGGAAACACTGCAGGTAATTTAGGACCAGAGATTATTTTTTAAATACTTCCTGAAGTATGAGATAAAGTTATGTATTTGTCCCTTTTGGGGCTGTTACTCCCTATCTTTCCTACCAGCTTCCTTATATTCCATTTAAAGGAAACACTCAGTACGTTGGTGGGGAGAGTTAAGTGCCTGTTTCCTACTGCTTCCTCCCGCCCTAAGGGAACTGCTAGTACTTGTCCTGGGCACAGCTCCGGTACAGATACATGGTCCAATAAGCTCCACCAATTGCACCGTCATTCTTGGAACTTGAAATCTTAAGGAATAATGATAGCCCAGAATCAGTTTCTGTTGTTTGGAGCAAAGACTTGGCTGCTGAAAATGTCCACAGAAAAGTCAAACTAGTTTTTACACATCATATTATCTAAGAGGCATTTGAATCATTAAAGCTGAATGAACAGATTATTTTTGACCATGGGTAATTTATGTATATAAGGTGTGTGTGTGTGTGTGTGTGTGTGTGTGTGTGTGTGTACATACTGTTCTGGGTACTCAATATAAATATATACCTGAGTGTGCAACATTCAAATCAATGTAGAAACCAAACAAAGATTAAATTCAGTGAATTATAGCTATTTTGTTGAAAGCTTTGCTTTTATTTAAAAGATTCCTAAGCATCTACATTCTACCTCATTGATATAAATTTAGTTTTAAAGTAGTATTTTAAAGTATTTGTCAGGATCTTAAACCTTCATTTTATGGGCGAAGAAAGTGCGACTTCGAAGAGTTTAAAGAAACTTGGCTTGAAGTTATATGTGAGAAAGATAAGAATGACTATGCCACCAGTCCTGATCGTACTTGGCCTAAGATGGAATTTAGTTTGAATTAGAATTTCTTTAAATATATATATATATATATAAAAAAGTACATATATATATATATATATATATATATAATTGATTTCAGAGAGGAAGGGAGAGGAGGAGGGAGAGAAACATAAATGATAAGAATCATTATTGGCTGCCTCTGCATGCTCCTACAGGGGCATTGCATCTGCAACCCAGGCATGTGCCCTCCTGTGACTACTGTGACTTCTGAGCCACTCTGGCTGGGCAAATTAAAAATTCTTATAAAATTAAGATTGGAAACTTAAAACATTAACATGAACTGAAGGGCATTTGCTCATTTTAAAAACCTTTTTATTTAATATTTACTACACTTTTTAAATAAAAATTGGAGGAAACTCATGAACTATTTTATTTTCCATTTTGCATGATCATAATATTGATATAATGGTACTTACCTCCTGTCTCCTTACCACACTACTCTTTTAGATTAATCCTTGTGGGCCTTTTTCTCCATAATAGCCTTTCTCTTTTCCCTTTAAATTGCAATTAGGACAGAATAACAGATGGGCTGAGTAGCTAATTTACATCTTTAAGTTTCCATATAAGCCTGCATAGTTGTCTCCTCTTACCCAGTTTGCTTTCCTTTGGGAATTCTGTCAAAACCACAAGATATTCCCCAGGTGCGCAGTTTAGGAAAATTAACTCAGCAGAAGTAAACAGATTGGATTAGAAAAATGGTGATCAAAATGATATTCAGTAAAAAGGCAAGCTACAGTAGGATCTTGGGTTAGAATACTGACAGTGACAAAAGTAAGGAAACAGATACAAGAGACTGTCTAGAAAAAATGAGAAAGATTTGGTTGCAGATTGGCTGTGGGTGAAAAGAGGAAGTCAAAGACGCCTGAAGTTAAGATCCAGGTAGCCTTGGGTTTGAATCCTGGGTTTGACTTTTCAGGAGCTCTGGCCGTACTGGCCACTTAACTTTTGTTAACATATCTAAGGCTCAGTTTCCCTCCTCTCTAAAATGATACCTATCAAAATAATGCTGACACAAAGATGTAATGAAAAAGAACACCTGCCGAAACCGGTTTGGCTCAGCGGTAGAGCCTCGGTCTGCGGACTGAAAGGTCACAGGTTCGATTCCCGTCAGGGGCATGTGCATTGGTTGCTGGCACATCCCGGGTAAGGGGTGTGCAAGAGGCAGCTGATCGATGTTTCTCTCTCTAGCTCTCTCTAGCTCTCTATCTCTCTCCCTTCCTCTCTGTAAAAAATCAGTAAAATATATTTAAAAAAGAAAAGAAAAAAAGAAAAGAAAAGAAAAAGTAACACCTTTAGCTCAGTGCCCACTATATGGGAAACACAGATGGCAGTCATTATTAGTAGGGGATGACATAGACGGTCAAAAACGTGAGACTGTAGTAAGGAGTTTGGGTGTGCGTTCAATCATTCTACCACACCTACCTCCACCTAGAGAAAGGGGTCTTGGAGCTTTATTCATCACCCGTTTAGAGCCCTGATATAAAGTGAATTGCAGAGTGCAGTTTGGGCTAGGACCCTAGGAAACCAGATTCTTGCTATTTTACCCTCCTTAATTTGAGATGGCTGGGTCTATCTACAGTGCAGACTCTGACCTGACTTATTCTTATATTCCTTTTTTTTATTATTAGTTTTACAATTAGACTTATTGGGATGACATTGGTTAATAGCTAATTTACATTCCTATTTTCTGGTGAAGAGAAAAATAAGTATGACCAGGTTAGTATAGGCTTCTTTCTAGGGGTAGTAACTGGGAAGGTAAATATGTGGGGGAAACTAGTGGAAGATGATTAGTAAGGTTAGTGGGTGATTCAGAGTCGGAGAGAGGGAGACACCTTTACAAATGGACATTGATGTCCGGATTTCTAAGCAAATGTGTTTTGGGGGCGTGGAGGCAGAGAGCTTCACTTAGGAGAGGGGGGTGCTTCAGCCCTTTCTTGTTTTTAGCTAAAAGAAATCCTATGTCAAAGGGGCATACTTCGGGGTGGCACGTTCTGATCCCCACAAAACAAGAAAACTGTGACCTCTTCTGCCTGGGAGGAAAGAAGGGACTGCCTGGGCAGCTAGAAAACTAGACCTGGGGTTCCTGCCCATAGTTCACAGTGACCCTTGACATCTGTAAAACGTGGCCGATAAGTGTCCTCAGTTCTGTACAGCTTGGGAGGAGGTGGTTAGGGTGATGTGCAAAGGGATGAGGGATGTTTTTCTCGGTAGCGCTTACAACACCTAGCCTGGAGCCACCATCCGAGGCGGCTCCGTAAAGGGCTCGCAGACACGCCCCCAGGAGGTCTTTCCCCAGAAAGTCGGCCGACCCGCCCCATCTCCGAGCCGCTTCCGGGTCCGGTGAGTAGGTGGGGCGGGCGGCGCCCTTTGACTTTACTCCTCTCAGGCACCTTTGAACCACGTTTATGGGGCACTTAATGGGCTCTAATAAAACAACAAAGAACTCCCGACCGCGGAAGCAGGGGGATCCCTCCCTGCGCCCAGGCCGCCGGAGTGGGGCGGCCGCTCTGAGGATGGAGGGCGCGGCGGCCGCGGAGCGCCTGCGCCCCGGCAAGGCTCCCAAACAGCCGAGGCTGCGAGGGTCCGGGTAGTGAGCGGGAACCATGGAAACGCTTTGAGACGTTGGCTACGCCACGCCGTACGTGATGACGACATTGGAGCGCCCCTAGCGCCCCGATTGTGACGCGACAGCGGCGCGGTCTCCCTGGTCTCGCGTGACCTGGGGCGCCGCCACAGCCTCCCAACAGCCCCAACGGCAGAGGCCCGCGGCCGAGGTCAAGATGGTGGCTCCGCGGGCAGGGGAGGCGGTGGAGGGAGGAGGAGCCAGGCCTTAGCCAGCCGAGAACACCGACACCCAGAGGCCTCCCGGGAGCCGCCGCCGCCTGCTCCTGCTCGAGAGACGCGAGCGGGCGGCGGGCGGGTCGTGAGAGACCGGGGAGGAGGGGGCGGAGCCGCCGCCTCAGCGCCCGCCCCTGGCCGCCGTCCCGGGCCTGCCCGGCCCTCCCAGCCCCGGTGCGGCAGCGGCTCATGGCAGCGGTGGGGCCCCCGCAGCAGCAGGTGCGGATGGCCCATCAGCAGGCTTGGGCAGCGCTCGAAGTGGCGCTCCGGGTGCCCTGCCTCTACATCATCGACGCCATCTTCAACTCTTACTACGATTCCAGCCAAAGCCGGTTCTGCATCGGGCTCCAGATCGTCCTCCGGCTCCTCGGTAAGGGGAGGGGCGGCCTGCCTCCCGGGCCGGGACGCGCCGCCGGGGGCGGGCAGCCGCGTGCAGGCCGAGGGTCATGTGTGCGTGAGTGGGAGAGAGACTGTGTGTGTGACAGTCAGTGTGAGGCTGTGAGTCCGTGAGGAAGTGTGTGAGACTGTGCGTGTGAGGGGGACAGAGCACCGGGTTCGTCCCCACGGGCGTCCTCGCGGCCGGGACCCGCAGGGGTGGCCTGGGGCCCGCGCGGCCGCGGAGGGCGCTCTGCCCGCCCGCCGGGTCTTGTGGGGAATGAGCGCTGACTGCCGCTTCCTGGGCGACAGCACCTCTGCTCGCCCCTGCCCCGCCGTGGGTAACCTTGGACTTGTGCTTTGGGCCTCAGTTTCCTTCTTTCCAAAATGCGGAGTGCTCGTCTGGTGTCACTTCTTGTATCGACGGGGTTTTAACGCCAAGGCGAAGTGTCTGCGGTAAATGACATCCAAACGAAAGGGACAGGGTGTTGAATGTCAGACCTTGAAACCCTGACCAAAACCCCTTATGGAGAAGGCGATGTTTATAAGGAGTTCTAAAATTTTCCATGAATAAAGTATAGAGGTGTTTAAAGAAAAAAATGTGGCTAGAAAGCGATGAGACTTCTCCAAGAGAGACTTCTGGAAATCAGTTTTGCTGACATTTGCTTGAAGTGTTGAAAAGCCTCACGTGTTTGACTCCCCATCTTCACTTGCACTATCACAGGGAAAAGCACTTATGTGTAAAAGAATTTAGGTAATTGCAACTGGGCAAATTTTGTTGATGAGGTGATTCTTGTGATGAGCTCTTGGTAGGCTAGTGCTTTGAAGTGTTGCTGATAGATCCTTACCAAACCTCTCTGAATTATGAGCCATCTGTTGCTTCTTTATTCTGACAAAAGGAGAGTGATAACGTTGAGTTCTGTTCTTAGCAATAAGTAGCAATGTTTTACTTCTCACTGGTATTATCTAACCTAATGTCTAACCTTCAAAAATCCCTCAGAGGTGGGAGGTGGTATTCTCATTTTACAAATGAGAAAACAGGGTCAGAGGTTGTGTTTTGCTTTAGGTACACAGCAAATAAGTGGTTGCCAGAGCCTAGGCTAAAAATCTTCTGACATCAATAGTGGTTGACTTTTCTCACTCAGTTCAGCTCAATCTAGATACAGAATGGTATGGTAATGATCCCATGCTAGATCTTAAAACTAACCGATGTGAACATGCTGTTGAAGAGACTTATCAGTAACCCACCAGCTGCTGACACCAGCTAGTCCTACTGTAAAAGTGTAGTGCCCTCATTATCTGTGGCAAAAATGGAGCTGTGCGATTTTGTAATGTATACAAATATCAAACACCTGAAACTAATCCGTTATGCACTTGAAACTAATTTAATACTATGTCAATTATAGTTAAATTTAAAAAACATTCACTAGCTTTGATGTTTCATACTTAACATATTTTATTTAATTCTGACAGTTATGGGTGAAGTTAATGTTAAAATGAAATTAATAAGAAGTGAGACTGTTGGGAAGGCATTTTATTCCTGTCAATAAGAAGCCACTCATCATACCATAAATTAACATGCAGTTACTTAATATAGTAAGGTGATCCCAGCTGAGTCTGCTTGCAACCCTGCCTTCACCCTCCCCAGAAGAGAGCAGAAGATAACAGACTTCTAGGGCACCTTATCAGATTTGGGGTAAATGGGATAACCAAGTGCAGCTTTGGGAACTAAGTAATCACAAATAGCAGGACTTGAGGTTAGGAGGATGGCTATCATTTCTGATTTGAGAAGAGTCCATGGTGGAGGAGGAAAAAAAAGGAGAGGGGGGGGACTTTGTTTGAAAGGATTCACATGTTTATTGCCCAAATAGTGTAGCTGCTGCCTTGTTCTTACAGCAGGTGACTGCAGATTCTCTGAAAACTCTTTTGGGACCAGGTGCTGAGAATTTTAAATGCAGTGCTCTGAGTTGAGCTAGGGAAATTTAAGGAAAAGGTGTATTCTCCTTAATTGAATAATTCATGGTTTAAGAACATTGAACAAAAGTAATAGTATTTTTTTTGTAACATATCCTGCTTCTTATTTTTGTAGTAAATCATGAAAGTTTGTATTTGATAAATCATAAGAATAAGATGTCAGGCAGGTTACTTAGTTGTGTAATGCCTCCTTGTTCTTATCTATATCTTTTTAAAGATGTACAGTAATGGTATTTCTCTCATAGGGTGTTAAGGACAATAAATAAACCCTTGGGATCTAGTAAGGGTTAGCTAATAGTAAGCTTGATAGTTAATTTTTTTTTAAAATACTTCAATTAAAACCATACTATGTTGCTCAGCTGGTGTTACTTAGTGAATTGAACCTCGTCCCAAGGACCAGGAAGTGCCGGGTTGGATCCCGGGTCAGGGTACATGCCCTGGTTGCAGGCTCCATCCCCAGGAGGAGGCATGCAAGAGGCAGCCAATGATGTGTCTCTCTCATTGGCGTTTTGTTTTTGTTTTTCCTCTATCTACCTCTCTCTTCCTATCTGAAAATCAATAGGAACATATATTTTTTTAAACAACCATACTGTGTTAAAGATATTTTGGTCTTTTAAAGGCATCAGAGAAATGTTGACAGTTTATTTGAAAAATTTTATCAAAATATTCTCTGAGTCAGACTTTATGAGAAATACAAAATATTTTTCAGATCCATCACCTGGCTGTTCCTTAAATTTTGCCAATGTAATTATGCTAATTTTTCACATTTGTAAGTGATAACTTTTTTTTAAAAAAGTGGCTTTGGTGCTAAAAAACTAAACAAACATCCTGAAAAAAGCAAGTGTGTTAAGTATTTAAGGCCTATTCAATGAGTGAGGCATCTTCCTGAGTTTTTTGAGAGTGGCAGGTTTGTGTGTGAAAGATACCAAAGGATAGTTAAATTAATTGTTCTACCTGTTTTTGTTTTGTTTTGTCTTAGTAATTATAGCCCTTTTTAAAAATAATTTATACACTGTTGTATATAAACCATAAAACTTGGCAGTCTGATCTTTTTCTTTAAAATAAAATTGTAAAAGTGGAAATCTATTTTCTAAGTAAAAAAAAGCAGTACCAATTTTATTTTATTTTTTTAAGATATATCTTTATTGATTTCAGAGAGGAAGGGAGAGGAAAGAGATAGAAACATCAGTGATGAGAGAGAATCATTGATTGGCTGCCTCCTGCACACATCCCACTGAGAAATGAGCTCAAAACCCTGGTATGTGTCCTGAGTAGAATCGGACCTGGGACCCTTCTATCAAAAGGCTGATGCACTCGCCACTGAGCAAACCAGCTTCTCCCTGGTCTGGGCCCTGATTTGTGTACGTGCCTGCAGGAGGTAAACAATCGCTGTAGTATCAATTTTATATATAGCATCTGAAGAATTTACTTTCTTTCCCTACAATAAAGTACTACAACTGAGAGTTTCAGGGGATTAGAAAATAGAGCATCTAATTTTGGAGATCCAAATAAAATCTATCACAATATATAGAATGTTTAGCTATTCTTAGGAGGTGTTAAATGCTAAATGAAATGCAACCCAGGGCAGCATAATGCTGAATTGGCATATCTAAATCCAAGGCAGAAAATGAAAGCATAGGACTTTGTTTTAATAGTATTACTTATATAATGATAATTCACTGAAGTGGAAAAGCAATCCAGAAATTACAAGGGAAATTTAAATGAAAAGCTTTTATGACAAAACTTTTTTAATTTCTTAAAAATGGCACATTGAGGGAAAAATGTCTTATCATATGAGATTGAAGTCCTAAAGGTTTTGTCAGTAAGAAAAACTACTTCTAGAGAACAATGGGCCTAAAATAAGCAGTTCACAATAAATGAAATGCAGATGGTCAATAAGCAAAAGAAAAATTACTCAGCCTCATTTATAATTAAATAGTTAAAACAAAACTTCACTTATTACATTAGTGAAGAGTTCAAAGTTTGAATAAAAACTGGTAAGGTAAAACTTTTTTCCCTTCTGTAAAATAGGTAGAGTTATACAATTTTTGTAGGCTGTCACTTCTGTGTAAAGCCATTTGGCACTATCAGCTGAAAGTCATCATATTCCTTTTGACACACAATTTTATTTCTAAGAATTTGACCTAAAAATAGTTGTACAAAGACTATGCAAGGATATTCATTGCAGCATTCTTGGTAATGACAAAACAACAAATTGTTCACTAAATGTCTATTAAAAGGGAATCTGTTCATTGTATTAGGTTCAGCCATACAATAAAATTGATAAAAAGAATTAGATATAGTTATTTTTGGTGCTATAGAAAGAACTCAGAAAACTTGTGATGTGAAAAACAAAAAAATAGTAAGTAATCAGGACGGCATAAGGATAGACTAGGTATTCTAAGCTGTGACAGGACTGACATTTGAGACAAGACAATTCTTTGTTGGGAAGTGGGTGGAGCTGTTCAGGAATTTGTAGGATTTTTAACAGCATCCGTGTTCACTGCCCATTAGATATCAGTAGCACCCCATTTGAGATTGCCAAAACATGTCTCTAGATATTGTCAGATGACTCCTGAGGGAGAACAAATAGACCAATAGCGTAGAATAGAAAGCCTTGAAATAGACTACCCAGGTATACTGGCATATAGAAACTTGATGTGTTTCAAGAAGTACATTGAGGTATGTAGAGGTAAATATAGGCTATTCATTTTTGGTCATTTAGTTATCCATATGGGAAAAATTATACTGGATCACTACCTCATATCAATATATAAATAGTTCTAATGGATTAATGCTTAGATGTGAAAAGCAAACTCTAAAGAAAATAAAGAACATGTGTTTTTTTTTTAAAATCTTAGAGAAGGAAAAATTCTTTTAAAATATACAAAAACAGCCGGGACTGGTTTGGCTCAATGGATAGAGCATCAGCTTGGGGACTGAAGGGTCCGGGGTTCGATTCCGGTCAAGGGCATGTACCTTGGTTGCGGGCATATCCCCAGTAGGGGGTGTGCAAGAGGC